TTGCCTGTCCGGTTATAACCTTTGTCTTAATCTCTCTCCAGTCAGTCCTTTTGCCTGCCTGGGTACAGGCTCCTCACACATGTCACTCTATAGACCAGGCTGGCCTCGAACTCACAGAGATCCCCCTGCCTCTGCCTCCCGAGTGCTGGGATTAAAGGCGTGCGCCACCAATGCCCGGCTGAGGGGTGTTTTTATAAGGGAAAATTGTAGAGCTGGAAGCCCCAAGATTACAGAACTTCTGTGGTTTCACAGGACGGGACAAAGATTGTATGCTTCAGACAAGGAGCAATTAAGCAGGATGCTGCAGAGGAAATGAGTTTGTTAATTATCCCCTGGGCAGGGGATGTCTACAATTGGCAACTATCCGATCCTCTTTGGACCAGAGGAATGTGGATGCCATTCTAGGGTGTGATAGCTGGTCTAAGGGCTTGAGTCCTGTGGACCTTTGTTTAACCTGTTCTGCTGGGCTGCCTTTTGGGAACTCAGAGAAGCTTAAGAGTTTTCCTATTTGGGCTTTGGAGTCCGAGTTTTAGACTTTAATTTTTCCCTTTCACTAGTATTTCTTCCTTGTTTTACATTTATCATTTATAGACTTCTAGGTTTACTAACCACATAAATGTAACTTTATGCACTAACACTTTTCTCCCTTATTAGCCGTAATAACGCCCCTCATTCCATGTAACCCTTAGCGAGTCAAGGACCCTCTGAGACGTGAATCGCCACCTGCCTTATCCCAAGATTTTATCTGCCTTCCTGATTCTGGGGGATATGCCTGCCCATACCCTTGTTACTGTCAGAACTGTTCATTGTATCAGTATTGGGTATAAAAAGTAGAAGCTTCTAGTTTTTGAAGAATTTCCCTCTCACCCTCAGACTCCGTTTAGAAAACCCTACCCTCCTGCTGTCTAGCCTGGACCCTGAGAGAGCATGGAAGCTGGAACTGGAATGCTCTTGTTACCTTACATAGGTCTGGAGCTCTTGTTACCTTACATAGGTCTGGGCACACACACAAAACAAAACAAAAATGTTCAACAAGATTGTTTAGTTTATATTATACCTGTTAATCTCAAAGATGAGAGGAGAAAGACCACCGACCCAAATCATTGTGGCCAAATTAATTAAAGCAAGCTTTTTTTATTCATGGACACAGGCTGCCTTCCCCTAAGGCCCAGTACAAGGGGTCAGCTTTGGATGTGAGGGAGACAAGGCTTTTATAGTTCAAGAGTAGTGGTTTTCCAAATGGACTCTTTGGCAGGTAAGATGGGGGGGGGGGGGGGGGGGGGGGATTCACAGAACATAAACTTAACAAGTTAGTCCCTCCTGAAACAAAGACATGGCGGCAAAGTGGGCATGAGACAGCAGGCAGTCAAAACAAGGTCGTCATAGGTCGTATGCCCTTTTGAAACAAAGGTCGGTTTGCAAGAAGGCTATAAACAACTTTTTAAACAAAGACATGACTGCCGTTCATGGAACAGGCAGTACAGAACCATTTGTTGTTAAGCTTATAGGTAGGCATGGCCCAATCCTTGAGAAACAGGCTTAATCATAAAGAAGAAGGAATCTAGTTTGTCTTTACTATAAGATGGCTTTTAAGCCTGAGATGGAGGCAGGCTGGTTCTTTATACTCTTTTAAAAATTTGACTTTTTTTCTGTAAGTATTTTACTAACTTTTTGTTTGTTTGTTTGCTTGTTTGTGTTTTTTGAGACAGGGTTTCTTTGTGTAGCTGGCCTGGAACTCACAGAGATCCACCTGCCTCTGCTTCCCGAGTGCCAACTAACTCTTATCTCTAGTCAGAATTGTCTTTGATATT